TTTCTATGTAGTCCTGGCAGTCCTGAAAATTGCTATGTAGACCAGGCTGCCCTTGAGATCACAGAGATCCACCTGCCTCTGTCTCCCGTTTGCTGGGATTAAAGGTGTGCACTACTACACCAGGCTTTGAATTTTATTTGCCTGCATGTATGTTTATATTTATGTTTATGTTTATGTATCATGTGTGTTCCTGGCCATCAGGGCTCTTTGTTCTGGAGTTACAGATGGCTATGAACCACCATGTGGAGGCTGGGATTGAACAGGGTCTCCGGAAAAGCAGCAAGTACTCTTAACTGCTGGGCAATATCTCCAGCCCCCATTTTTTGTTTTTTTTTTGACTCAGAATCTTGCTGTGGTAGCCTGTAATCCCCCACAGGCATGCCTAGAAGTCAAATAATCCCACCCAGGCAGACCCAGATGTGTCTTCAGGCATCTCCTAGGTGATGTCAGATACTGTGATGTTGGCAACACAGTAAGTGATAAGTATATTGTTTTGTAAAATTTGCTTGATATTCTCAATAACTCCATCAGTTATAATATTCTCATTTTAATGAGAAAACCGGAACACAGTGGTGGATCTGAGGTTTGAACCGAGGCAGCCTGGCTCCAGAGTTCTGGTTCTGATGATAGTGGTCCCTCCTCCCGCCTCTTCTCTTAACCGCTGAGATGCTAATTACCAACCAGTCTAATATATTCCTTTAAATAGCCACTATAGCATTAGCTTAGCTGACTGGAAGGCTCTACAGTTCAGTTGTCTTTACTTTTCTTCATTTGCCCATCTGTCCATCTTTCCATCTGTTTGTCCATCCATGCAAGATCAACGGGATGTAAAGGGTTCACAGAGATGCCACTTTACCAGGGGTTAGTTTCCAGCCTCTCAGAGTGTCAATTAATTGCCAGTATAAAATGGCATCCTAATATTTACCTTACAGATTTGCTGAGTATTAAATGAGCTGTTTCATGTGTAATGTCTAGCCTTGAGTCTGCGTTTCCGTGTAGTTCAAAACCTTACACAGTGACGGTTTTAAAATACTGCAGCTAGTAGAATTTCCGCAATGTTTCCACCCTCCCCTTTTATTCTTGATCAGTGATGTTGTCTGTTTCCGCCTCTGGGAGAAGAAAGTATTGAATTGCTTGTGTAGTCGATGACCACTCTGGCCACCCACTTCTTCCTGGGACTAAGGGTACCATCTGCCTGTTGGATGGCAAGGATTCAGCACAGTGGGGTGGCCCAGTCTCATTCCCTTCCCGCCCTTGCTGTTGACAAAGTCTGGGCTGCTGCTCTCTGAAAGACAATGACAGAAAGCCGGGGAGTGTGCTGGCCCTTCCTCTTCCAGGGAGGCCGCGGAGATGGAGAACATTGGGAAGACAGCTGGGCGGGTCCTGGGAGCGACTGGACTGTGCATGAGCTTCTGTAGAGTCCTAATAGCAAGGTCAAGGGTGACATTCAGAGATTTCTTGTTCTCTGAATTTCTGCTCCTCGACATGGTGAGGGGAGGAGGCAGACAGCCTTTTGCCAGAGAGAGCTTGGCACTCAGGTTCCTGCCATCTGGGTTGTGAATGCTCTCTCTTCCTCCCTCTCTCTCTCATTTCTGCTGTGCATGTGTGCATACACTCCTGTCTCTGTGTATCCGTGTCTTTATGTTTGTATGTGTCTGTGCATGTACCTGTGTGTGTCCCTGTGTTTATGTGTGCTATGTGTCCGTGTCTATCCATGCATGTGTGTTCATAGACAGACTTTTTGGATAGATGTTGGAAGGTCTTAAGGCAAGGACAAAGAAGTTCATGTCTATTCAGCTTCATCCCCAGCGATGCCTCTTTCCCCAGGTTAAAAGGTAGAACCAGGCTCCAAAGGAAGTGGGTGCTCATAGCATTCTAAGCTTTCTAAAGACAACCCTGGGCTGGCAAGATGGCTCACCAGGTAAAGGCCTTTGTCACAAAGACTGCTGGCCTGAGTTTCATCCCTAGAACCCATGTGGCTGAAGGAGAGGACTGATTTCTGCAAGGTGTCCTTTGACTTCCATGTGCACAGCACAGGTCACAGGTGGACTCTCTCTCTCTCTCTCTCTCTCTCTCTCTCTCTCTCTCTCTCTCTCTCTCTCAGATAAATATTAAAAAACAAAACAGAAAAACCCCCAAAGACAGCCCAATATACAATAATGATCAACACTAAAACAAAGCATACCAAATACAAAGAAAAGAAACCAGTGGCCCAGGCTTTCTGCTATGGCCCCCTCCTCAGCTCCCTAAGAAGAGGGCTGATATTTCTGGACCACTGTCCCACTGGGACTTTCCATATACAATGATGCACGGTCAACATTCCCACTCTAAAACAGGGAACTGGGATACAGCAAGAAAAGAGTGGACCAAAGCAAAACCAAAGCCCAGTAGGGAAAACACCACGGTGGGTACATCGTGACCACACGGGTACGTACTGTTCCAGATGGTAGGCTGCCCACTGTATGAGATTACCAGCCAGCAGCCCACAGCTGAGGCCCAGCCCAAACTTTGGCTGGCTTGTGTCCATGTACGGATGTGGGAGAAATGGCTTAGTTGGGTGAACTAGATGTAGGAACTTATTCCAGATCCTTCCAAGGTGGGATACTTCCAGGTTCTGTGTGGGGACTGTGCTGAAACATATGGACTATCAGTTCAGCTGGGGAAGAGGGGTCCATTGCTCCTGGAGTTCAGGGAGCAGAGACCATGTAGCAATGGTAGGTGGCTGCTCTCGCAGGCCCTTGGACTTTTCCATCTGGAAGGTGCGGCTGTAGAGGGAACTTAGCTGCTGAACAGACACTTGCTGGCTGGCTTGAACCCCTGGTCAGCCAGAAGAGTCAAGATGAATCCGTTCAGCACAGACGTACTAAGCATGCCCCAGTCCCCCAAACTGAGTTTTCTAGGGTACAATAGGGATATGGTAAGTGCATTACTTTCTTCATTGTTGAGACCAAACGCCTGATAAGGAGCCGCTGAAGAAAGAAAGGTTTTATTGTGGCTTGTTTGAGGGGATAGGGTTCATCACAGTGTGTGTGGTGGTTTGAAAGAAAATGGCCCCAAAGGGAAGGGCACTATTAGGAGGTGTGGCCTTGTTGGAGGAAGTGAGTCACTGTGGGGGTGGGCTTTGAGGTCCCTTTTCTCAATCCTCACTCAGTGTGACAGTTGACTTCCGCCTCTGAGTCCAGATGCAGCATTCTCAGCTCCAGCACCACATCTACCTGCAGGCCATCATCCTCCCCATCCTGATGATAATGGAGCCAACTTCTGGAACTGTAAGAGAGCTGCCTCCATTAAATGTTTTCACTACAAGAGTTGTCTCTGCCCAGCAATCGAAAAGCCTAAGACAGAAGACACATGGTGGCAGGAGCGTGAGGTGGCTGATCACACTGCACCTGTCGTCTGTCAGGAAGCTGGCTTTCTCCTCTGCCTTTTGAGCCCGCAAAGATTGTGCCTGCATCCTGCCCAGGTCCTGAACACCCGAGAGATGCCAAGTTCAGAAGCAGTGGGCTAAGCCGTTTGGTGGAGGAAATTTCAAGACAGCATAGCAGTCAGGTTGTGGCGCTCAGCCAATGGGATGGGGCTACCTACATTTAGAGTGGGCTTTCTGGGTGATTCTCAATCCAGTCAAGTTGGTAATGAAGGTTGATCCTCACAGAAAGGAAGCTGGAGAGGAGAAGAGGTCTCAATCCAGTCAAGTTGGTAATGAAGGTTGATCCTCACAGAAAGGAAGCTGGAGAGGAGAAGAGGGCAGGGAGTGTGTGTGGGGGGCGAGGCTCAGGTGGCCAATCAGGCCTCACTATGAAGGTGGCAATGAAGTGGAGATCTGAAGAGGCAAAAGAGCCTTGTGGGTGTCTAGAAAGAGGATAGAGCAAACTGAGGGAAAGGCAGGTACAGAGGGCCTAGGGCGGTGGTGGAGGTAGGGGGTGGGGTGGGGCGGGCAGTCGGGCCAGAGCAGAAGTACAGGAGGAATCTGGTAGAAGATGACAAAGAGGGATGGCTCATGCCGGACCCTGAGGGTCACTTCCAAGCTCTCACTGGAGAGTTCTGGTAGAGAGTATTATATGCTCACTTTAGCTGAGGTTTGGCAGAGATACTGTAATCATGTTTGGCCTCCTACTGCAGGGGTGTGGTCAGGGGGCTCTGCAAGAGGAGGCCTGGGAGTAACAGCACTCCTTCATGCTGAGGAACCTGTGGAAGGAGGCCTGCGGTCATGATATCTAGTACTTGTGGAGGGAGGTCCGTGGGAAGCATGTACGATATACTTACCAACATCCTACACGGGGAAGAAGGAATCCATGAGTGTCTCAGGCCATGTGAAGTAATACTGCATAAAGTCTCTCTCTCTCTCTCTCTCTCTCTCTCTCTCTCTCTCTCTCTCTCTCTCACACACACACACACACACACACACACACACAGAGCATGGTGTGGGGTGTGTGAAGACTGCCCACCAAAACTAGGCAGTGGTTATTCCTGGTCCAGGGTTTAGGTGATCCTGACTTTCTTCCTGACACGCTTAAAAAAACCCCAAACTACTGTTTACTTAAATTCCTTTTTAAATAATAAGCAAATTATTATTTACAAAACCAGGGAAAAATCCAATGGAGCTATTTTCATCATGGGAGAGTAAGATAAATAATTAAAAGAGGTGGTGTTTTATAATACATAATTTTCTCAGGTCCTGTTGCAACCGATGCAAAGTCTTCAAAACCAAGATGGCGCTAAAGAGGGTGGCGAAGTCTTCTCCAGTTGCTCCGACGGCTGCTCTTATCCAGGTTGTTTGCAGCCATTCAGTGAAGCAGGCAGCTGCAGAAGATGTCCCTTCTGTGCCCCAAGTTTACCAGCTTCCCATTTGTGTCATTGCAAATTCATTACTGCTGGGAGGCAATTTTGGGGCTGAACCTTATGAGGCACCTGCTAGAAGTGGGGAAGTGGTGGTGGTGGGGGGGAGGCACCAGCTGGAACTCTTGGGACTCAGGGTGATGCTTAACTCACTCTCTCCCCAGCCCTTTCAGGAAAGAGTCAGAAGATCTTCACAAAGGAGGAAGATGAAGAGGAGGAAGGTACTGCTGAGGGCTATTGCCGCCCGACCCAGATTCCCCGAGGAATCCTATCATATGAATAATTAACTATAGCAAGCCAAGGAACTGATCTTCAGTGAACAGAGAGTTCATGAAAATTTAAAGACTGGCGCTGAAACAGGCCCCGTGCGTTGTTTTCATGGTGACTTAGATATCTTTGAAAACCTAAAGTCTCAAGGTCTGCCCTAGGGTCCTACTGTGACATTAGCACTGGCTTCCTGAACTCCTGAGTCTCTGGGGGGGTGGGGGGTGGGGTGGGGCTTCTCTGGGAGCTCTGTCTAGGCAGAAGAGGCTAGTGCCTTCAGGTGAGACTATCCCTGGGTACCTCTGGATACCCGTAGGCGGGTTACAGGTGTCCCCCTAAGCAGTGGATCCATATTGTTGGGTTACCAAGGCAACCCCATTCCTCCTGGGACAGGGGAGGAAGGGATGCTGACGGAATAGGATTTCATGAGCTGTCTTTCCATAGGAATTGGGGCTAAAAATACCCCACAGTTGGCACTTGCATGATTCCAGGAGCCTTTCTGCCTCCTGTCTCTGCACAGTTAGCAACTGCTCCCTGGCCGAGTCCTGATCCTGTAGAGCTGAGCTTGGCACTGCCCGGGGGTGAGGAGAGCTAGCTCTTCAGGAAACTGGTGATTACCTTATTGGCTGGGTGTGGAGGCCTGAGTTGGGCTGGTGTTTCCCTGGCAGACACAGGCGTGCTCTTCCCCAGAGTCATTAGTGGTAACTCCCAGAAGCTGTTTAGAATCACGAGGCAGCTGGCAGCCCCGGGGCGCCGAAGGTGGGTGTAGGAGGGTCTCGACTAGCTGGCCAGGTTGATCTTTAGGGACCCGTTGCTTCCTTTCTCCTTTCTGTCCGCATTGCAGGGCATGCCCCAAGGCAGAGAAAGAAGTTCAAGTCTCGGTGTCTCCCAGCATTGAGTTTGTGCCCCCAAGGGCAGTCCTGGCTCTGGGTCTAAGTGTCAGAAAAGGCTGGGAGAGCTTGAGTCACAGGGTGCTGACTTGCCCCATGATGCTGTGAGCTGCAAGGGTCCTGGAATTCTAAAACCTACCAGTCTGAGCTTGAGAACAATGTCTGTGCTCTGTAGACGTGGGGACTTGAGGACGGGACTAGGAATTGCACATCCAGAGGAAGGCCAGCCATCTCCAGGACTCAGACAGGAAACTCCTTGGTTGCCAGAGGACTCCCTCGGCCCACAGCCAGCCTCAGCAGGTCGCTTGGAGGACCACCAGTGCTCCTGTGTCCCTCCAACCTCCCTCATGCTGGAGACTGAACATGGCATCTTTTATAAACGGTGGTGACTGCTCTACTACTGAACCACACCCCTAGCCCTGGGAGCTCTTGGTCTGAGAAAGGTCGGAGATTTTGCATTTTGAACACACTCCCAGGAGATGCCTGGGTTGGATTTCCATGGGACAGCAACCTCGAGTAAGAAGGCTCAAGAGAAAGGGGTCTAAACAGGGCAGTGAATAAGAATCTACACAAGTATTTTAAACTCTGGATTCCTGAGCCCCACCGTAGACCTCTGGAATCAGAGCCATGGTGTGGTGATCTGTGTAAAAGGATAATGGATGGCTTGATTCGTGACTTTGTCTTGTAACTGCCGTCCTGTCAGGCCTGCTGTGGACACTGAGAGAAAGGCCTCCCCAAACCCGTTTGTGCCAAACATTTTTTTTTTCTATTTTTAGTGAGATTTGCTCCTTTTGAATCTGGCCTATCATTCACCATTTAACAAATATTTATTAAGTCTCTCCTGTGTTACCATAAAGGTCTGTTCTTTCCTGTGTAGCAGGACAGACAGTTGGTAGGTAACAGCGCCTGCTTCATGCCTCCTAGGCTGTACAACTGAATTAGAGAAATCCCCGGTGGCTTAGAGTTCACGAGCTTGCTTCCCTTACATGGTTATAACGCTGCTAATGTGTTCTTAATGAGCTGCCACTTACTTATGCAAATAGCAGGGCACAGATGCCAGGGGCATTGGGGCTTACAGAGCAGCGTGCCTCTGCAGCTTGCATGCGTTTTCAGGCAGAGCTGCTGGTCTCTGGGGCTTGTTCTGTTCTTCATCCTTAATAGCTACGATGTGGGTAGTGTGTCTGTCACTGTGTATGCTGGGCATCTCACCAGGATAGCCTGGCATGAGGGCACCTCTGGCTGTGAGAGGAGTAGGTAGGGACCATCCTAGACACCCCCTTGCTTTGTTATCTCTGTCCACCTCTGTCTTGTGCTGGCTGGCTTTTACCAAGCTCTGGGGAGACCAGTGTGGGTGGGAGGCAGCGGCTGTTGACCTCAGAAATGGGTGCTGTTTAGACCTAAGTCAGGCTGTGAGTTTCATTTCTGGCCTCTATGAAGAAATTTCAGGAAAAGGTGCTTTTGAATCTTTTTAAAGTCCAAAAGCAAGCAAACTGAAAGCCCTCACACCAACAAAACAAAACACTTCCGTTCCTGTCTTCATTTCTCTCCCCTGTTTCCCTGAGGACTTCCCTACCACAGTCAGAGCCAGAGAGGATGCTGGGATGGTGTGCCAGCTACTTCATTTTCTACTTGCTGTGGCTTCTAGTTGCTGTGGCAAGACAAAAGCAACTTAAAGAAGGAGGCTGGAGAGATGGCTTAGTGACTAGTAGCATACGTTGCTCTTCCAGAAACCCGAGTTCAGTTCCCAGCACTCATGTCAGGCAGCTCACAGCTGCCGGCTACTTCCGCTCCAGGGGATTTGGCATCCTCTTCTAGCCTCTGAGGCTGCATGTGCTAACCTGTACATATCAACACACAACATGCCCATATTGAAAAAGAGGATAAAATAAACATAAATTTGAAATAAAGAAGCAGGGATTTACTTTGGTTCATAGTGAAGGGTGTAACCCATCACAGCGATATCATGGTGGCAGATAATGAGGCAGCGGGTTACACTGCACTTGCAGTTGGGAAGCAGGAGGTGAGCAATGCCCTCAGTTGCTTCCTCATCACCCCCCTTCTTATTCAGTCTGTGACTCCACCCTGAATATGGGTGTGTCTTTCTTTCTTAGTTAAAGTTCTCAGGAAGCACGCTCACAGACACACCCAGAAGTGATCCCAAAATTCACTCTAATCCAATGAAGACTGCCCATCACAGATAGTGGGTGGTTCTTCACTGGGCGTGTCATGCTTATTCTCCCGTAGGCTGTTTTGCAGGGCTGCTGTCTTGGGTACCACAATAGGCACTGTTACATGGAGCTGAACAGGCCCCATGCCATGGGAAACCTACCTGGAAAGATGGTCTGATAGGAGCAAGCACTCATCTCTGATGTGCTCCCTGGCCCACCCAGGCTATCTGCTGGGTGGAGTTGCTTGTGATGTCCCCATGGTTTTAGCCCCAGGGATTGGCCTAACTGGATGGCAAGGGAATGAAGAAAGGGCAGACATAAGTACAGAAAAGCTGGGATTAGGTGGACTGGACTCTGATGGAGAAGTCACAGTACCTTGGAATCATAACGTATTTATTGTATTGAATAGGGAGGCAGAGTTATTGCATACAGCTGAACAAAGAGACAGATTTAGTTCATCCTGGTAGGAGCTGCTCTGTAGTGAGAAGTTTCCAGGCCATAAACATAGGGGTTGGGGAGAAAACTAAGGTGGACATTTTCTGGATACTCTATTAACATCCACACATGGACCAGCAGAAGACTTTGCCACTTCTGTGGGCACTGGGGTCTTTGACATAGCTGTCCCCATGTCAACAGTGCACCCACTTAGTACTTCACTCAATCACTATGCCACATAAAAGGCCAGACAAAATGGTGTACATCTCTAACCTTAGCACTTCCTCAGGGGAGATAGGTGGAGAAGGCAGGAGAACAATCTGGATGCTCTCTACACAGCCACCCTGGAGTAAGAAGCTCAGCAGTGAAACATCAAGAGAGACCCATCCTCAACAAAGTGGAAGGTAAGACTCCCAGATATTGTCTTCTGACCTCCACACATGCACCGTTGGTGCAGGACAATTCTGTATTCTGTCAATTATGTTTTACATAAACGCTGATTGGTCAGTAGCCAGGTAGGAAGTATAGGTGGGACAACCAGACAGGAAGTAGAGGCAGGGCAATGAGAACAGGAGTATTCTGGGAAGAAGGAAGCTCTTCCCACAGTCTTGTCCAGACACCAAAGAAGAAGGATGTGACCTGCCCCGCTGAAAAAGGTACTGAGCCATGTGGCTAACATAGGTAAGAATAATGGGTTAATATAAGTTATAAGAGTTAATAAGAAGCCTGAGCTAATGGACCAGTTTATAACTTATGTAGACCTCTGTGTGATTTTCTTTGGGGCTTACCGGCTGTGGGAACTGTGCAGGACAGAAACCCCAAGCAGGCCCTCATGTTATTCACCGTGGCAAGCGCACACACATACAAGCGCGCGCACACACACACACATAAATATGCAAGTTAAATAGTAATGGAGAGAGAGCACAAGCAAGGAACTCAGGACCGCGAGGGGTGCACCCATACACTGAGACAAGGGGGATGTTCCATCGGGAACTCACCAAGGCCAGCTGGCCTGGGTCTGAAAAAGCCCGGGTTAAAACCAGTCTCGCTGAACATAGAGGACAATGAGGACTACTGAGACCTCAAGAACAATGGCAATGGGTTTTTGATCCTACTGTACCTATTGGTTTCGTGGGAGCCTAGGCAGTTTCGTGGATGCTCACCTTACTAGACCTGGATGGAGGTGGGTGGTCCTTGGACTTCCCACAGGGCAGGGAACCCTGATTGCTCTTTGGGCTGATGAGGGAGGGGGACTTGATTGGGGAAGGGGGAGGGAAAGGGGAGGCGGCGGTGGGGAAGAGACAAATCTTAAATAAATAAATAAATAAAAATAGTAATGTGTTCTTGTGTGTTAGGGTTCTCTAGAGGAACTGATGGATAGAATGAATAAACACAAAGGGGAACTTATTGAGCTGGCTTACATGGTAGAAATTAGGGTCCAACAATGATCATATTGCATGTTAGAGAGACTGAAAACCCAGAATCTGTTCAATGTATGAAGCTGGCTATCTCAGTGGCTCAGTCTGACTCTGAAAGCCTTGGGGAGTTACTTATCTTTAGTTTGTATTGGAAAGCCAAAGTAGATTCTAATGCAATGGAGGATGTCATCATCATCATCATCATCATCATCATCATCATCATCAGCAGCAGCAGCAGCAGCAGCAGCAGCAGCAGCAGCAGCACCATAGATAAACTTACCAAGAAGGGAAATCAAGTAAACAGATAGCACTGAGCTTTCCTTGGATCTCTTTTTATCTAAGGTGCCTGCCAAAAGATACCACCTATTAGCAGGAGGGTCTTCTCCCCTCAGTTAATCCTCTCTGAAAATGGCCTCTCAGACCTACCTTAAGGTGTGCCTCTCAGACAGTCAAGATGAACACACCTTGGATCCTGTTCTCACATCCAGCCACTCTACAGTGGGATTTCTGGTGTTTTCACAACAGATGAGAAGCGACAAACTTCAGAGCCGGTGTCTCAGCTACTCGTGTATGGGCTCCGTGACTGGGAGAGGTCATTCACCTTTGGGGCCTCTCTTTTGACAGTGGTGAGCAGGAAACGTGGTGTGGCTGAAAGAAATCTAGAAAGTTAGCTTCAGTTTAGAAATATAAGCTGTTGTTACCGAAGGGCCATCTGCTGCCCCTTTCAGAGAAGGAGGAAGACAGTCAGACTCATGCCAATGGCCATGGTGTCACTTTATGGACTGATAGGCACTGCCCCCATCTCCAGTACTGCAGACAGATTGTCACGGCATGTGACACTATCCTTATGCAAGAATATTACAAATTCAGTTTCTTGAGACGTTGTGCCAAACCCTTCAGCAACATAGAAATCTTCACATCTGCTTAGCTTCTCTGAATCACTAATTTTGGTAACTGGGCAAGGGAAGCTTGTCCGCAAGGAGGCTCTACCTTCCTTGTGCTGAATGAATGTGTGTGTGTGTGTGTGTGTGTGTGTGTGTGTGTGTATGTATATATATATATTTCATGTTTTGTTCTTGGGTTTGTAAAATACAGTATTGGCATTAGTAGTGGTGAGAAAACTGCCTCCAGTTCTTCTTAGAGCAGGGCAGGCAATAATCAAATAATTATACTCTTAGCTACTTAACTATTTTGGGCAAATGATTCTGGAAAGGGCTCATTTTGTCTTTTAAAGGAGAGAATCAACCAAATCCAAGCATGTTGAAAATGCCATAGGAAAACTTGTTGCTTTGTATGCTAATTAAAAATGAACTTTTTAATTAATGTATTAATGATACATACTAAGATGTTTATTATGATGTTTCCCTATATCCATATACTCTAACTGATCAAATCCAAATTTCCTTTGCCCCTAACCTCCAGTAATTATTACTCTGCTTTCTGGACAACTTAAAAATTTCTTTCTTTAAATCTATTTTTGTGTGTGTATGCACACGTGTGTGCATATGTCCTGGTGAGCCTGTGGAGATCAGAGAACAATGTTTTGGGTGTCAGCTGTCCTCTTCTACCTTGTTTTGAGTCAAGGTCACTCATGTACGACACAATGCACTGTCCTCGCTAGCTGTCCCCAGCTTCTGGGTAATTAATTCTCTTGTCTCTCCTCCTTTTTCTTCCTGGGGATGGAAGTAGGCAGAGCTTTGCAACCTGTAGCAGTTTGAACTCAAGACAGTAGTTCGCGCCTCACTCAGGCTCCTGGTTATGGCACTCTGGTGTTTGCTGGGAGATTACACAGGTCCCAGACAAGGTTACGGAGCATAGTTCACATCACCTATCTAAATGGGACGTTACTCTGTGAGGATGGCAAGCATCTTCAGTCATCGGGACCACCTGCATCTGCACATCTACACTGATGGAGTTTGCTGGTATTCTCTTCTCTACTTCTTTTACCCTTCAAAGGTTAGGCATCTGTTAGGGATATATATATCCCTAAATATATAATATATATATTTACTGTGCTCTTGTCCTAGGTCTTTGAGTCTTTCAAAGTTCCAGTCTCCTTCTTGCTGGTTTCCAGTGTCTTCTGATAATTACCCACCTCAAAACGTAGGCATCTGTTTCTTCCTTCTGCTCTCTGTGGAGGAGGAGGAGCATGCTGTCTTTTTCTGGCCTCCTTGGATCTCTTTTTTTTCCTGTGCATTTTCTTTGGAAGTTTGAAGAGGGGTTTGACCGGCCCTAAACTTTGGTGGGATTGTCATGTGGGTCCGGCAGACTGATCATGAACTATCTCATATTCAACGCCAGGAAAACACCGTTTTCCTACACCACAGATAAATTCCACACCAAACTATTTCCACTCTGGCTTAGGCTCTTAAAACAAGGACCTCATCTGAAAACAAAATTCATGATTTTCCAGAGGAGCCACATCTCCTTGGGTTGAGGCCTTCTCACTTTCTGAGTGAGCCCCAGTCACACTGGTTATCCTGCAGATCCGCCAACACTCAGTGTTCCTGCTGACCTCAGGGCCTTTGCACACACGATGCCCTCCCTCTTAGCACACTTACTGCTGGACCAGTGCTCCTTTAGAGAAGCTGCTACAGCCCTGCCTCAGAGCTGCCGGGCCTCCTTCTCTGTTCTACTGTAGAGCCTTCTCTTCCTCGACGGCACTCACCCTAGATCATTGCTGTCTTTTTTTATTTTAAATTTTTACTTTTTTGTGAAACGGTTTCATTGCCTCTCCAGACTGCAAGCAGAGTGGCCCTGTTTGAGTCACTGTTGGATCATCACCAGAGCGCAATGGCTGGCAGATAGTAAGTGCTCCGTACACACTTGTTGGTGTACCGATTCTCTGCACCCCGGTGGATGTCTTGTTCCCTACTGGGAATGTGTGTAGGCAGTAGTCACTTCTCCCCCGTAGACCCCTGGTCAGTGCTTTCGTGACATAGGCTGAGAGAAGTACCTTTGACAGTACTGGACAATGGCCAAGGGCCTAGAATCTTTAAGGACTCCCAGGAACCAGAGCAGATATTTAGGCAATGAGCCAGGAATTTAAATCTAATGTGGCTGAGATAGAGTTAATAAAATATCCCCGAGCTCTCTACATATGCTGCCTTCCCTTAGAATTGCAAATGGGCTCTGACTTATAGCGGCAGAGTTTCTATTTTCCAATTTGACTCTAGTGTGAAAGCCATATGCATGTAGTAGAAACACTACTATGAAGTTTGAATCATCATCTTTTTCTGGTCTCATGATACCCCGTCCTGTACGGTGCTGGTTTGTGATGGTGGGTGGAGCCTCAAACCTCAGTCCCTGTTCAGTCTTGTGTCGTCAGAGGAAACGAGACACACTAGAGCATCTGGCGTTTCTAAGCCAGGGTGTTTGGCAGCTTAAGCCTCAAGTGTAGTTGTAGTTGTTGTTGTTTTAACTCTTTGTACTCTTTGGGGACCCGCCACCCCGCTTCCAAATAGTCACATAGAGACTTATTATTTATAAATGCCCGGATTTAGCTTGGCTTATTTCTAGCCAGCTTTTCTTAAATTATTCCAAGTACCTTTTGCCTCTGGGCTCTTACCTTTCTCTATTTCTGTATATCATTTTTTCCCTTCTTACTCTGTGTCTGATTGTGTGATTGGGTGGCTGTCCCCCGCACCCCAAATCCTTCTCTCCTCCTTTTCTCACTCGTCCTCTTCTCTCTTTTTATTCTCAATGCCCGCCAGCCCTGCCTATCCATTCTCCTGCCTAGCTATTGACTGCTCAGCTCTTTACTAGAGCAATCAGGTGTTTTAGACAGGCAAAGTGACACAGCTTCACAGAGTTAAAGAAATGCAGCATAAAAGAATGCAACACATCTTTGCATCATTAAACAAATGTTCCACATCGTCAGCAAATGTAACACATCTCCAACTAATATTCCAAACACTTAAGTCATCATTTGCTTATGATACTTTAAACTTCTGCTACGTTTATTGGGAGGTAACACCATTGCAAAC